CGTTAATGATTGACCTCAGCAAAATGATTCCCACTGAGTCAGGGGCCTTCATTATCAAGAATGTTCTCCATAACCCGCTGGCAGAGGAGAACAAGGCCACCCTGGTCCCTGTCGAACAAGCGGAGGGGCGTTTCCTCTTTGTGGCCTCAGAGGACGACCTCAACTGGGACAGCAAGGCTTACATGGACATGATGGTGGAGAGACTGCAGCGTCATGGGAAGGACAACTTTGAGAGCGTTTGTTACCCCGGAGCGGGGCATTATCTAGGGCCGCCTTATGGACCCTACTGCCCCTCCAGTGTTCACTGGGTTGCACGCAGGCCGTTCCTGTTGGGGGGTGAGCCCAGTTCCCATGCAGCAGCTGAAGTCCACCTGTGGAAGAAGATCCAGGAGTTCTTCAGAACTCAGCTGAGCTGTGATGCTACGCAGATAAAAGCCAAACTATAGATCCACTATAATATAGTTACACTAATGGGGATAATTGGTCTATATTTATTATATAAATTTGAGAATAGAAAGTCCACTTTAAGGGAAAGTCTGTCAGGTATAATTATGGCCTTATACTTGCTTACTGTCACTTATAAAGCTGTCTGTGTCTGTCTTGTATTCTGGCATGAGTAAACTTTAACTCAACCTTTTCCTAACCATGTTACTTAACTGGACCTGTTTGTATCTGTATCACTCTGCTAAAGTTTTACACATGCAGACTTAGACACGATGTGTTGTCTCTCTTTAAAGACCGCTGTTGTCTGTGCTGTTGTTGTGATCCCAATGCACAGACAAAAGCAGATTATACTCGCACTTCTAAGCTCTGTAACAGATGAATGAGTGGTGCCTCACTTTAATGAATAAAGTATTCAAAGAACGAAGCTTCTTTATCTTTTCAAATCGGGTCAGCCCAGAACAAGCTGCTCATAATGGAAGTCTGAAAGTAAAATGAGAAGTGAATGAAGCTATTGGCTCACGTCTTGAGGAGTAGACCTGGTTCTGCCCTCAGAAAACAGAAGTGAGACTCGGGGAGCAGCTCAACGTCTTCAGGCTGGAACACTTTATATTTACACAAAACGGGCAGCTGTTTGGCTGACTTTAGGTGTTCAGATGTTGCTGATAAACTCTTGTATTATTATGAGGAAATGGTACAACATTAAATTACATTTTGTTGTGACAGAGACCAGGGCAAAAAGGAACTGAAATACAGACGCACGGCATTATTGCTGCCGTGTATTAGTAAGAACATTTAATGTTTCTATTTTAGAGAGATGTTTCATCAAAGATTATCAGCAGTCTCTCTCTGATTGTCTCTTTGTCTTTATCTAACACTCTGACTCTGACATTACACTCTCTACGAATTGATTAAATTGTCACATTAAGGAGTTTTCTTTGAGAGTAACTGTGGCCACTAGATGGCAATGTAAGCTTGTAAATAAGCACCATGTGTGAGCTAGTGCTACCTGAGTTACAGGAATACACTAAATGTAAGGATTTATATTGAAACTGCTTTTTATTTTTTGCTTAATTTTGAGCACAACTTGTTAGAAAACAAGCAAAGGATATATTCACAAAAAGGTCAGAATCCAAGCAAATCTCGACTTTTTGGGGGATGAATTTAAATGCTATGCTGTTATATGAAAATAATAGTAAGACCCCTGGCAACGTAAACAATAAAAAATAAGTCAAACTTTTGAGAGGGATGAACACTGGAAGTGTGCCTTTGTCAACAAACATCTGCTCCGCACCTGCAATAATATAAGTGCAACACTTCCTGTCGCTGAAGTCAAAAAGCTTTTATTGTGAAGCAGCCACAGCTTCCGGTAGTCCCGGCAGACGTTTAACATTTCAGTGCCTAAAAGTAAACTAAACAATTTATTTAATCTGAGGTATTGGAGTTGTATTAAAGTGTGCCTGAAGATCAGAAGCAGCTGCAGTGACAAGACTATATTTATTATGTATTTAGTATCTTAAGGAGCTGTTTTTCACAGCTGTATCAGTATTAATGTCCACAAAAAATATTAACATGGGAAATAGATGCATGAAAACTGCCTCCTGTTCAAAGACAGTTATTTACTGAGGTTATGTAAATAACTTCACAAATATAACTAATTCCAGAGTTCAATTTCACTGCATTTCTGTTAATAAACATCAAGTGGCAAGTGCATCTTACAGATCATGATGGAACTACGGCTAAACAATTAACAAACATGGTTAGATTTGTCAAAATATGGCAGTGAAATATGAGGACAAATGGTGTGTTCTCACCCACTTTGTCACACAGAGGCCAACCAAACCCTTGTGCTCTCAGGACGTTGGACATTCTTCCTTTCAGTTACATGTTGACACATTGAAATACCCGTTTGACAATGCCCAAAAAATGCACGCATAGTTCAATCACTTTATCCACTCTAATCGTCAGAGAAAGCTCGCAACATGTGTTTGCCGTAGTTGTATCAGCTACTTAAGATATAACTCATGGGTGATTAAAGCAAGGTAAATTAGTGTGCACTGCACCTACCGGCTCAACCCACTAAAAAGCCCACAGATTATATTTAAGGGTACATGTGGCAGTGAACCAAGGATTACCCCAAGATTAACACATGTATTACAACAAACAACAATTTAATATGTTAAAAACAATAAAAAGGTATATATGTAATATACCTGTGACACAGGTTATAATAAAAGAGGCAAAACCATTTAAAACAAAACAAAGCAACACTAAACCATGAATACAACTAAATTGATAATTTAAACAAAACAGCAGCGGCAGTCAACGTCTCCTGCTCACTGCACAACACCCATCTGGAGAGCTTGACGGGGAAGTGGGAGTCTCTTTGGAGCTGGACCGAGAGCCTGGGGGTCAGAGAGATGGGAAGACGCAGCTCATGGTATGGCTATTTATGGTGGAACAAACAAATTGGGAACCAGGAAGTAGGAGGGGCTAAATCCTACCCAGCTCTACAGTAGCCCAGGAGGGACATTTCATTGCTGGCTATATTAGCATTATTATTATTGCAACATCGTCCATTTGCCCAACGTCTGATCAACAAAACAGATACACTGACGTAGTCCTGTCTCTGTTTGGCTCACACACACACACACACACACATACACACACACACACACACGCCCACATTCCACTGAGGAACGTTGTGTGATGTATAATTATTCACAGGATTAGATAACGTGACTTTTGGAGCCACACTTAAGGATTGTCATTCTAGATGAACGCTTGCTTTTACTGCAGGTAAGTCACATTTCTACTTCTCTGATTTTTCTATCAAAGAACTTCCTGCAGGAAAGCAAAGACTTTTTATCGTATAAAAAAATAACTATTAACAGTGTGAGAAATGAGCATCTTCGGTTATACCCATTTATTTGCACTTTTCCAAAGTCTCTTCTGATTGGTGGCTCCACAGATATCTCTCACCTTGTCATCTTCTGTATCTCCCTGCTTCACAGACTTGTGTATGTATTCCCTTTGACAGAGAGTCATTTTATGTCAGAGCATTGACAGTAATCAAGGACAATGAGCTCGTTGATGATCCAATCACCTGTCTCACAGGAGACAGATGTTTACATCTGTGCATACATGCGTGCCTACATTCCCATCTTCTCCTGTGCTTGCACAAAATCCAAAATATCAGACAATGTATTCTCGCTCTTTAAAAAATATTGAATGTACTGATGTGGTTACTCAATTAACTCTCAAACTAATTGTGAGAACAGTTATTAAAATAAATGGAAACTAGCTTAATTAAATAACGGTCTTGGGACATTGATCGGCCTTTTGCATTCAAAGGTTCAGTTTGAGTTGTAACCTATAGTTAATGTGTAGAACATGAAAACCAGATCTGAGCAGCGTAACATAAGAATTCCTCGTCAGATTATAGAGACAAACATGTTACTGCGGTCAAGATATTTACTGAATAGCAGGAACAGTACTTCTACTCTAAATGTGAGTCCAAGATTTAGTTACCCCTCATGTTATTTTATGTCTTAAATTGTTAGGAAGAGGTTTGGAGACAATATTAAAAGCAAACAAGGTTCAACACAAACATTCATGACCTATTCATCTGCTTTGTCAAAATGTTTTGAAGTAATATGATAGTCCAATTTCTCCTTTTACAATGACAGTGAAACCGTGTGAAGAAAAAACAACAGTAGATTCAGGAAAGATGTCTTCCCAAGTCAGACTGAGGCTGCTGCCGAGAGCCAGATGCATGTTCGATGAGCCCGTCCAGGTGAAGGTGGCCGGGCTGAGGTCCAGACAGGTGGTCACCGTGAGAGCCAGATCGACCGACGAGAAGGAAGTGGTGTTCAGCTCCTCGGCCACCTACAGGGCCGATGGGGGCGGGGAGGTCGACCTGGAGAGGGACCCCTCTCTCACTGGGAGCTACACCGGGGTTGAGCCCATGGGTCTGCTGTGGTCCATGAGGGCAGACTCTTTGCACAAAAGGTTTCAAAGAACAAAGTCACTAAACCCTCACGTGGTGAAGTTCTCCGTGCACGAGGAGGAGGGCAGGATGCTGGCAGAGGCGACCAATGAGAGGCTTCTGATTGGAGACGGGGTCAGCAGGCACACGGTCAAAGAGGGGAATGTTCGTGGGGTCCT